GCCCCTGTAACCATGCAGACAGGGCCATCACCAGGCTGCAAACCACCAGCCCAGCAGAAACCAGGGGTTTGCAGGCAGCTGAGACACATCTTGGGGCTTGGAATCCACATTTTGTGATTTTCAGGAAGCTTGACAACAAGGGCTGCAATCATGGACCTGCCCCTGTCGCCTCCCAGCAATATTTAAAATACATAAGGCAAGCATTGAATTGCTCTTTCTTAACCAAGGGACATAAGCCCTTTTCTATACTGAAAGATGCTACCTGGTGACATATGGGTGGACAGTGAAGGTCTAGAAAACCAACACCTGACTCCTATCGACCAAAACCAAAAGGAAAGCTTTAACAATGATACTCTAAACAGAATTTGCCAGTCTTCAATGTCACTGGCTTTTCAGCCATAACCTGTGTGTTAAAAGGGTGTCTGTGCTGCTAACCTAGATCAGAACTGGGGGAGGTGTTAAAAAAAAAAAAAACACAACAAAAAAACCCAAGAAAATCCAACTCACTGTCACACATGGCGTTCAGAACAGAACTACATTGAAAAATTAGGTTCAGAAGTTTTACATTACCAAGTATTGACAGCTAAGTCAGGAGATATTTAAGGAAAAAATAAGAATAGAAAAAAAAAAAAAAAAGAGCAAGAGTAATTTCCTGAAAGAACCCCATAATCACAGCAGCTTACTGTAGGTGGCCTTCCTGGGAAATGCACTCACTGGCCTTTTTCCCTTTTTACTGCTTGTCAAATGTGTTTGATGCATTTTAAAGTTACACGGAAAGCACTTGGAGCACAGACATGAGAGCACTCAGCACAGCCCAGTCCTCCGAGTGCAATAAACAGCGCCCAGGGTACCGCGGGGGCTCGTGGGCCACGTGATTCTCATCCAAACCCTTTTCCTTCGCTCTCGGGCCCCTGTTGCTGCAGCAAAGATGACACGATCTAGAGGAATCTTTGAAAAATGCACAAAGGCTTGCACCCAAGTCAACCTGCCCAGCTCACTGTTCCGAGAAAGATGCTATCTGACGACCTGAGCGGCAGCGTGTACAGCACACTCTTTAATATTAATTTGCATTAACAAATTACGTGTACGCTTCAGAATTACGGCATGTTCTTTGACATTTGCATCTTTTCTTTTCGCAGAAGGCATACTAAGTACTTAAGATCAAAACGGTTACCTCTAGATGATGCTTGAGGTACAAGAGGTACCGGGCGAAAGCTAAGGATGCTGACAGAAAGATACAGCACTGTCTCACAACCCCCTGTATCTGTTTGAATCAGTAGAGCTTCTCAAGAGATTACATCTTAACACAGTAACTCACTGGTTGCATGTCCTCTTATTACATTCAGGCAGGGGAGGGCAGGGGGAACGTAGGGACAACATGCCTGTATTTGAAATCCTTAACTTTCGATTATTTTATTTTTTTCCTCCTTCTTTTACACTTACACAAAATGCAAAAATCCTGCTATATTACATACAGAATATGGTTGACACTATTCTATTGTAAAACCTAAGAATACAAAGAAAAATGATAGAAAAAAAAAAAGAAAGGTACTTTCTTCAAAATAAATTTTAAAATCTGTAAGTTATCCTTATTATTAGTTGGTTAAAAAAAGCACCGTTACATCCAAGGCAGTAGCACTCTCACCTATTTACATAACTCGAGAAAACCAAATTAAACATACAAGTATATTTTTGACTAGGTAGTACTGAAGTGTCAGGCTGAAAAACATGAAGTGCTCTTCTGTTCAATAACACTTAGGCACAATAATATTTATTTTCATAAAAGGAGAATCTATGTCCTACAACTCTCAGCCAAGCCACTTCTCATGCAAGCAGACTCATTTATTTCAACAGAGCTACTCATGCAGCTCAGAATTTGCAGGACTCTACTTGCTAACGCAGTTGTCATCTCATCTTATAGCTTATGACAAGGCTAAAATAATCTTTAGTATGCTAAACATGTTCTACCACACCTATCTACAGAGTAGCTTTTCACCCCCCTCAACTGTAAAAACAAGTCCTCTGCTATATCATGAAAACAAAAGTTATTCTGCAACAGACAGCTTTGCATTTGCTGCATAGGAGAAAAAGTTTAAAATACGTAGTTCTACTTCAAAAGCCTATTTTTGCACCTTATTTATTCTCTTTTGGAACAACCCCAATTATCAGACTTCCACCAAATTACTCAATCCTGGAAAGCAGTAAAATATGCATATACAAACATCACCTATCACTAAAAACAAAAAAAGTCACAAAAATTAAAAGGAAAAGTAAGCTTGACTATTAACTTGCAGCATTTTTAGTGACGTATCTTAACCAAAGAGGGCTAGAGGTGTTCAAGTGAAAGTTTGGAATGAGTCACAAACACACCTTTAGAACTTGAAGTAGTACAGAGCAAGATTTAATTTCTTCATACAAAAATCAAGAAGGTAACTACCTTTCTTGGGTAGCAAGAAACTTATCCATCGTTAATGTTGAGGTTTCTTTATTTGTCATTGCCCGCTAACAAATGGTCTTTAAGAACAAGAACTTGCACGCTGTTTGTTTGCTTGACCACCACTTCTAATATTTTAGCTAACAGACACTTTTTTGGAAAATTCTATCTGCAAGTATCAGAAACCTCAATTACATGCCCCCATCTACGTGCCACGCTTTGACCCTGAGCTTTCACTTGAACACCTTTAGCCCTCTTCAGTTAAGTCACTAAAAATGCTGCAAGAGCAAGAAAGCCAGGTTTCTGTACCCTGCCTTTATTGCCCTCCCTTGGCTCTTGGCAAAGTAGGCGAGACGTGCCAAGCTCCATCATATTATGCCTCACCTGAAACTGCAGTTCCATCTCTCTTTATTGGGCTGACTCAGGAGAGATGAAACCTTCCTGCATCCACTAACCACAAGGGTGACACCTAGAAGCCACAGTGCTGTCTGAATATAACAACCATTTTACCAAAAGTAATTTTTGTAGAAAAAATGATGGGCTTCAGCATGTTACAGGTAGATCTTCTGTTCATCGAGTGACATATGTAATACTAGATTGAGTCTCAGCCCATAATTTAAAGGAAACAGAATGCAGCTCTTGCTAAATAATGATTTCATCACTGCATCTAACGAAAACTTGCTTCTAGGTGAAAAGACACCGCTCCGTTTCTTTTTAGATGACACGACAGAGGAAACTGATCCAGCTTCCCCAGCTCCAAAAGTTCTACTCACCGGTTTTCTTTTAGCATTTAAGGGATTTCCTCCGCGTGGGTGTCTCTGCAGGGCAAAACTCGTACACTCCAAAAGGCACACTGCCAATTTGCACTCAGAAGCAAGAATTCGGGACTCAGGCACACAACATTTCACTTTCACTGCTGTTTTCAACATAAGTAGCACAGCCCTCACACAACTGGGAAAATGTTATTTAACAAACTCGGCTGGCACACATGACATTTAACTACATAAGGATTGTTATTCATCCCTTGATTAGCCAACAGTATTTAGACGATAGAGTTTAACAGCAAAACCACTGCCTTCTGAGCTAAAGAACGATTGATTCCTCTCCACATGTTGATGAGTGCATACAAAGAAAATCATCTGTAGCAGTTCAGCACTGGCTACACTGCCACCCTTTAGTACTTGCCATCTTTATATAGTTCCCTTATTTCAGCTAGCCATCCCCAAAGTAATTCAATATACAAGTCTTAGAACCCAAAAGCTGAGTAGTTAAGTTCTCTTTTTTTTTTTTCAGGAGGGAAACTGAAATGAGCAATCACAGTTCTGAAACCGATTCCTGCCTGATTTTAGGCTCACTTTGCCGACTGCATTCACCTCGCCTGACGCCGGGCACCTCGTAGCCTGGGGTGACAACTCAGCACACCCCACAGCCGGGGTCGGGGGCTCCACGATCCTTCTGGAAGCGCTCCCACCCACTCACCCGAAATACAGGCAAAGGACTCCATCCTCCCCATCCCCAGGTTTCAGGGCAGGACGGCGGGGCGTTTCGGTGGTTGAGAACCTACTGCTTTGAGGCTTCGTGTCAAGACTTGCGCTCCCGCCGCCGCTCTCACCCCAAGGCGGGCTGTTCCCCACCCCGGCTGGCCCCTCGCCCCCACCAGCCCCTTTTGCCACCTCGAAACCCCCTCTACCTCCTGTGCTCAGGGTATTTCGGGTGAGACCAGAGGAAAAAAAAACACGTCCCTGCCTTCCTCACCACCCCCAAGCCGCTTCCAGACGCCAGCTTGATGTGCCACACGGATCTTCAGCAGCGCAGCCACCGCTCCTCTCCAAAATATGCCAATTTCACAGGGAAAAAAAAAAAAAAACCACACAAAAAAAACCCCCACAACCCAGCACCTTATGTTCGCAGCCGCACCACCCGCCGTTCCGCTGCTGTCTTATATATATATATATCTATATTTTTTTTTACCACAGCAGCAACACTTTTTCAGGCGACTCGCTCCGAGAACGACAAGGAGTGTGTGTGGGGGGGGGGGTTAAAGCCGCCAAACGAGGCGCTTCCCCGCGGCGAGCGAAGGCTGCGGGGCGGCAGGGCCCGCCGGGGAAGGAAGCGCCCTCCGCCCCGTCCCGGTCACGAGTGGGGGAGTTTCGGGCAATTATGTAACCCCCCGGGACCGGGGGCCGTTGTTGTTTTTTTCCCCCCTCTCTCCTCCCTCCTCGTTTCCGAGGCTCCGCAACTCCCTGAGCGCCCCGGGACAAGCCAGCGCCCGCCCGCCGCCATCTCCCCTCTCCTCCACAAGCCCTTCCCGCCCCGCCGCCTGTCTTCCCGGGGGGAAGCCGCACCGTCCCAGCCCCACCGCCTCCCGCCGGGAGAGCTCCTTCCCCGCCAGGCAGCCCCTAGCTCCCAACATGGCCGCGGAGAAGCGGCCGGAGCCCCGTCAGGGAAAGGCTCCGCCGGGAAAGTTTCCCTCGACCCTCTCCGACCGGTCCCGGAGACCGAACACCCCCTTCCCCGCTCCCGGCTAATCCCTGCCGAGGAGGACGGCAGGACCCGCACTTCTCACCCGGCGTCGCTCCGCTCCGGCTGCCGCCGCCAGCCCCGCCGCCCTCTCCCCGCTCGGCCGCGGTCATGCACCCCGCCGGCGGGGGACGGGCTCCGGGACACCGCCCGCGCGGGGCGGGGCCGCCGCCATCTTGGGAGGAGCCGCGGGGCGGGAAGGGCTGAGGCGGTGGCGTCCCCTCGGCGGCGGGCGGTTTGGCCGGGCCCCGGGGAGCCGCCCTGCGTGGGCCCGGCGCTTCTCAGCCCACGAGTGGCACCTTGTGGAAGAGGGATTCTCAGGATACGAGAGCGTTACCTCAGGTTGTCTCGTAAAACCCCCCACGTTTCCATTCTGTGCGCGCCGTCCCGGGCCCGTGTTTTACCTCCATGGCTCCAGGCACGCTCTCCCAGAAGTAAATAAAGATGGTCGTGTTTTTCATTGCCTCTCTCTTCATAAACCTTTTGTAACCCGTGGAAGGGAGCTATTAATGTGTTTTAGTTTGAAGAGTTGCCAGTCAGCTTGGAGTCTGCTAATAGGTTTCCCACTGGGAACACCACACAAGGAGCCCCATTTGTGGGTTTCAAGGACAGGGAACTGCTGGAGAGGGCACAGCAAAGGGCTACAAAGATGATGAGGGGCCTAGAACATCTCTCTTACGAAGAAAGGCTGAGGGACTTGGGGTCTTTTTAGTCTGGAGAAGAGAAGGCTGAGGGGGGATCTGATCAATGCTTGTAAATACTGAAAGGGAGGGTGTCAAGATGATGGGGCCGGTCTTTTTTTGGTGGTGCCCAGGCATAGGACAAGTGGAAATGGGCACAAACTTGAACATAAGAAGCTCCACCTAAACATGAGGAGAAACTTTGAGGGTGGCAGAGCCCTGGAACAGGCTGCCCTATTGGAGTCTCCTTCTCCAAAACCCACCTGGACACGTTCCTGTGCAACCTGCTCTGGGTGAACCTGCTTTGGCAGGGGGGTTGGACTAGATGATCTCCAGAGGTCCCTTCCAACCCTGTATCATTCTGTGATTCTCTGTATTGCTATTTTGAGAGTCTACGCATCGGGACATCCAGAGCAGTATTTTCCAAATCTAGCCCGTTTACCATCATTTCACTCACTCCCCCCAAGATTTCAGGAGGCTGATGGGTGCTAGCAGAGCAAGGGGGTGGCAGGGCTGCTCTGGGGAGCTGTGGGGCAGGAGGGAAGGGGACACAGCTTGCCCCATTCTGGCTGTAGCGCCATGCACTGCTCCGGTGCCAAAATCTGCATGCTGGAAAATGGCCTGAGGGTTTTTGTTGAGTTTTTTTTAAAGAAAGTTTCCCTTACATGCAATACAGCAGGGTTTCATTTTCCAAATTTCACATTATTGGGCAATAACGTGTGGCTGGCTTTTCTGGGGAAAAGAAATAGAGTAGTTAGGCGGTGGGGGCTTTCCAGCGGTAACAGTGAACCCACTGAAGTTTCTGAATTTCTTCTGAATTTTTTTATCCCAGCTCAGACAGGGGCACAGACAGGTGAGAGCTGTGTCACCGAGTTCTTGGTAAACCCAACACAGCCAACTAAGCAGCCGACTGCAGCCAAAGATGAACCGCGGAAACTTGCTGTTAATCATTTCTTAACACCTTGGTTCTCTCTCCCGCTGTGGGTGATGGACACGGGGATAGGAGCAGGACATGGAGGGTCAAGCACGTGTGTCCTCCTACCCTACTGCATGGCAGCCTGGCCATCTCCTCCTCCCCTCAAATCCACCCGGTGCTTAGCCCGAGCTGAATGCTTCCATAAGGGTTTATTTGAGGACAGAAATTAAGGACTGGGGCTCTCTTGTTTTTGCAACAGATGTCACTTCTGGAAGTGGGGCACATTCAAAAGCTTCTACGTGGGGGTGTGACAAGTGACATGGACAGCTGAAAAAGACGGCGCAAAGGAGAAATGAACAGTGCTAAGGAGACAGTGCCTGGTGATGGAGAGCAAGTCTCCCACAGAGGCAAGAAACCCATGGTGAGCTGCTTGGATTCTATGCAGAAAGCAAGCAATAGCTAGAAAACCAAGCACGTGTGAAAAAGATTTTTTATTAATTCTTTTTCTTTCTCTAAACAATATTTTGGTAGCTTTTTAAGCCCAAATATAGACCCATATATGTTGCCTGTCAACAACAATTCTATTTTTTTAGAGTGTCTCTACAAAATATGTGAGTTGTCTTTTTCGCTGTTATCACTTCCTCACTCCTTTTGGGGATCTGTTCATTTTGTTGTAGACAATAATAGAAGGGAAAAAGAAACCAACAAACAAACGTTCCATAATGCTCAAAAGAGACCACTCTGTTCTTGAAACTCAACAGCAGCCTTAAGTGGTGTTTGACGTCCGTTTAACTTTGTGCCCTGTCCCCAACAGTGACCACTAGTGGAGGCTTAAGAAAAACCAGTAAAAATAGAGCAATTATGTATTTATCTCATTAACTGAGCTTCTAATAAGTCATCTTTTTAGGGGGGAGGAAGGAATGTGGGCTTCATGTTACAGAGGTTGCAATTAACATGCTCCTTAGTAGACACTCCTTAATAGCTAATAGTGAATCCCTAAATTTATCTAATTCCTTTTTCCACCTTCATAATGTGTCACTTTATTTACTCTTTGAAAATTCATTATTCAATGACTCAATGATTCGATTCATTATTTCAAAATAAATTTTAAAAATATATCATCTATAAAATACACATTACTAAAATTTTGCTGCTGTCCGTTTCTGTTCATTCTAGAGGATGCAGCACCCCTAAGAGCGCAGTTTGTGTCCCGAAAATGAGCACACCCGTTCCCTAACCTTTGAGCAGTTGGTTCTTGGCAAACCCACCGCAGCCAACCAAGCAGCCAACTAGAGCCAAAGATGAACCGCGGAAACTTGCTGTTAATCATTTTCTGCATTTCTCTAAACAGAACGCAGGTCAGTGAGCGTTTTTGCTTCAGTTGGGTCAACACGGGGTTAGAATTTTACTCTCGGCACAGGGAAAAAAAAAAATTGTTAGTAGCAAACAGACCAGAGTCACAATGGAAACAGCTGAGCAAGAAATAAAGATGCTCACACCGTTTTTATGGAACTGCATTTAACACTTGTAAAATTGATATATTATGGTTGTTATTTTCCATATGACATTACTGAGAAGAGGCAGTCAAAAGAACAGAATGGCTTTAAGCATTTCCCTTTAAAATAAAAATATGCAAATGTACGGGCTTTTTTTTTTTTTCTGGTGTGAAAAAGCACAACATTTGTCTGTCTCATGTATTACAAACAACATGCCCAGCAAAACGGGACCATCTGTAATTTTATATCCTTTTAAAATATTTTGTCAAGCTTATGTTAGTAACATGATTTTCTGGCTGTTAGGTACCTTCCAAAAAAAAAAAAATCGTTGCAAAGGTTTTGAGAGTTGCATTAAAATGATGCATTATGTTCCATAATGAAGAGCTTGCAGTGATGTATTATTGTGAGAGCTGGTAGCTGCACACGTACAGAAACTCAACCTGGGGACTCTAATTCAAGACAGCAGATTGATTTCCGACCTCTCTGGGTTAAAATTGCTTAAGTGTGTTCTACAAATTTAGCCCCAAGCTGTGAACTTGAATTCAGATGGTTATCTGTGGTTTCTGTCTGGTTTTGGTCGAGCTCTGTCCATGTACCATTACCAGAGTTTAATATTTTAACCGACCTTCAAAGCTGAATTGCGAATCGATAGGTTATTTTTGAAGTGAGATCAAGAGAGATTACAATGCGGTGCTTTTTCTTTCTGCCTTTCTGCTGTACAGCCCATATGGATGAGACTCAGCAATAACCATTTAACACTGTATTTTAACAAATAACAGAGCCAGAAAGGCTCCAGCCAGGCCCATTTTCTGACAGATCGCTTCTTCGACACCGACAGAAAGGGATCGCTGGTTTTGACCCAGTAAGGATTTCTGCTCACCATCTGTATATTAAAATCTCTCTGGAACTTGAGGGCAATTTCTGACCAGCCAAGGGAAAACTAACAAAATCCATCATTTGTGATCTGAGTATGAGGAGAATTCATCACAACAAAGAGGCTGCACTCATTGTATGCTTAAGGTACGAAAGAATTTGGCAAAGCAGCAGCCACAACAAGCAAGGCCTGTCCTTAAAAATAATGTCTGTAATAGAAACTCATATAAACATAGAACAACCTTTCATTCAGTTGGTGTTCATTCCATTTTCATTGCAGAAATTCAGTTCTCTTCCAAATAGCATTCTGTTTCCTCAGTTTCCACAGCCAAACTGCTAGCCAACTGCCCGAGCAGAAAGGGCTCAGAAGCTGAACCAGAAATACCTCTTTGTTTCCAAGGGATCAAAGTGTCTCGTTCTGTCCCTGCAAATAGTCATGTCATTTTTAACTTTATCTTTCATTAAATAATTCATAATGCTGAATTCCATACTTGCACTGTTGAAAGCAAAAGAGGATTCTCTATTTCTTATTAGAAATTAATCTGGTAAGATTTTTTTAAGGGGAAAACTTCAACAGCTCCTAAGTTTTATACTTTTAGTGTTTCTAAGTACCTTAAAGACATAGCATTTTTGCAGTTCAAACCTTACTAAAAGTTGAGAGTATAGGATTTGTTAAGTCTACAAATCATATTCATCTGGTTTTGTAGAGGGTTCTACAAAACTCTGCAGGAGTTCAGTCCCATGTGTTTGTTTCTGGATAAACCATTTGCCAAAATTTGGAATTCTCATCCTTAAACTGTCCTGGTCAGAGCTATGGTTTAAGAGGGTGAGCTCTTGTGTTCAGCTGGGGCATAAACGGGCAATAGCTCAACTACAAAAATGCGGATGGACAAATCTTCAGGGTGCTTCTACATCTCCTGACGCTAGAAGATGACAAGTAGATGTTATGCTATATTTGGATCTTTGGGGATTTTTAAGCAGTGATAACCATGTCTGACTGCGGGCTGGCAGGGGAGGTGTCTCAGACCTCCAACCCCTTCAGGAACGGTTTGTAATGGAGCTTCCCAATGGACTGAGGCCCAAATCCACATCTTAAATGTGGATAAATGCCTAATTCCCAGCCTCAGAAGCGGACACCAGAGCTTGTTGGTCTCCTCTGGGAGGTGACAAATACAACCGCAAGGCCTGCATGGCCATGGT